ATTGCATTTGGCTGTGAATATCTAGTATGTAATCTGAATGTAAACATCACTGATTGATAAATCTACTTTCCAAGAGCATCCTACATCTGGAGGGTTTGTGCTTAGGGATCTTCACTATCACAAACTCTACCAAACTCAAAGGAAATGTAACTATAGCAAGTAGCATCCATGGCATTTTATACTTAATGGGACAATGACAAAGTGAACACATTTGAAACGTTTCGAAACTACTGCTTCGTAAAATAAAATAAAAAACAGGTGATGTTATAGCCCGGGGCCTCTCCATGTTGATCGTGTCCATTAAGACCACTTCTTCTCAATATTCATGGTGTAATGAGCCTGCAACTATAATAAGCATAATCTGGTTGAGGAATATGCAACTGAATTAGTTGAGACTAATTTCAAACTGCAGAAATATTAGGACATCACTGACGTTACTAGAGGAAAATTTCCTCCTTTTAGAAATTCTTATGATAGAGAGTGTCCAAGAACACAGAAAGACACCCAATTCAATCAATACAAGAATGGTTGGCAACTACACCCTAGGCATATTTACATGTTCTAACAGATCAATGGATGAAGGAGGGAGGCAACTGATTCAGTCAGGCTATTTCCAAGCACTCTAGCTCAGAGAACAGGTTCAAACTCTCAATCTGTATGGTGCAGATTAAGTCAGGAAACTTAAAACATGGTAGAAGATGAGAGCTTAGACATCAGTGGAGCCTACAGTTAGAAGATCAGCTCTCTTCCTAGAAGAGGTCAAAGTGTCTGATGGGCCAGAAATATTTGTATTCTTTAGACCATGCTACTGCAATGCTGGAGATAAACAAAAACACATTAAAACCCCAACAGCCAGAACTGAAATAAGTGGGAGCAATCAATACAGATTTCACCCTGTGCTCCCAAACCTTGATGGTCAAGCCTTAAATACTGGTCAAATTGGCTATCAAGAGCTATGACCATGCCTCAAGTCCTCAAGGGCCATCTGGCTACAACTGAGTCTCTTGAAACCAATCCAGAATCCTCCCGCTCCAAAAAATAGATTCTACAAAAAGGTAAACTGTACACTATCAGAAAATGCAGAAAGTGTCAAAACTTGTTAAAATACTAGTTTATTAGTTCAGGCTAATGTTGAAGGTGAAGGCATGCTTTCAGAGAAAAACGAGAAACTTCAAAAATAAAAGCATGGTAGAGCATTTAGACCTGGTCTACACTAACGAGGGAAGTCTCTCTAAGTTTGGGGAAGGGGTTGGAATGGGGGCAGGGAAGGGGCGAGAAAAGGCGGGGCACAGGCAGGGCCTCATGGAAGGGGTGGAGTGGGGGCGGGGCCTGGGGCAGCAAGTGGGGGATGTCAGTGATGTGGCCCTCGGGCCAATGCACTAGTCCTCGTGCGGCCCTCGAGGTCATCTGAGTTTGAGATCCCTGATCTAAGTTATGCTATTAAAGTTACGTAAGATATTAACTTAAGTCAACGTAGCTTAGATCAACTTATAGTGGTGTCTACATTGCGCTATGTCAACGGGAGATGGTCTCCCACCAACAACATAGCTTCCGCCTCTCAGGGAGGTGGAGTACTGAAGGCGAGCAGGAGAATGCTCTCCCATCAACTTATCGCGCCTTCACCAGACTTGCTAAATAGGACAAGAAGCAATGGGTTTAAATTGCAGGAAGGGTGGTTTAGGTTGGACATTAGGAAAAACTTCCTGTCAGAGTGGTTAAGCACTGGAATAAATTGCCTAGGGAGGTTGTAGAATCTCCATCATTGGGGATGGTCTAAATACTTAGTCCTGCTTTAGGTGCAGGGGACTGGACTAGATGACCTCTTGAGGTCCCTTCCAGTTCTATGAAATCAATACCTGCTGCATTGGTCACAGCAGTGCCGATTTAGCCCATAGTGAAGACAAGCCCTCAATGGCTTTGAGGGAAAAGCTAACAGCATGATGTTCCATGACAGATTGAAATGCAAGATAACTTAGGCAACAACAGTTTAAACTTTACAACAGGGGCACACACAGGTTTGTATTCTTTCTTTAACTTTCTTTCAGTTAACTTTTAATTAAAGAAAATATGGGTTTTTAAACAACTGTGTAAGTTTTTACCATCTAAGTAAATTTTAGAATAAACCCACTTCCCTCTTAATAGTCACAAACAGAATTCAAGGTTTAATGTTTCTCCTACAACAGTCGAGGACATTCAACATTCTAGACCAGCACAGGCATTGCAACTCTCTGAGCCGTTTGTATATTACTGGTATATTATTCCTACAACTCTTATAGGAGAAAGACAATTCTGATAAACAGAAAAACAATTATTAAAATTAGTCAGAACATAAATAAAACCGTGATACAAATTCTGAAACTCTCAGTCAAGCCTTACAGCCGAAGAGTGTTGAACACCCAGCTATCAGCTAATGGACTAAATATGCTACCTAGTCCGCTAACGTAGAAGGCGCTAGAGTTTATCAACACAATTCCAAGATTTACATGCCATGTGATTACACAATGGTAATTATGCAGCAGTGTTATCCTTAAAAATGTATAGAATCAAATTTTAGAGTTCACATATTTTAAACTCCTTGGAAAAGGATTTTTTTTGTTTTGCAGTTTTTTAAAGATACTCTTAATTCTAAATGTTGTTTTTTAAAGAGACATTTGTGGTCCTAAAGACACCAATCCTCCCCATTTAATTGATAAAACATTGAAGTTAACCTTAAAAATTAAGTAAAATACAGAGTTTCCTCTAACAATCAACAACAGAATTTCTGGGAGGATGCCCTCCTGCAAATATTGAATCAACTGCCGGATTTTATTAGCCGATACCATATTCCTAGACTAAAAGACAAAAGAAATTAAAGACAGTCCAAACATATATACACTCTTTTTATAACACACACACACACAATGTGTCAAAAGACAGATTTCCCAATAAGAAGCTTTAATAGGTTGTGACTACAGAAGTAAAACTGTTTGGTACACTGGTGCTCCATTCCCCGCGCACACACAGAGCAGTGTCTGTATATGTTCCTTATTTAGTTGTATGATTTAAAAAGATAACACTATCTAAATTCTTTCACATTCATATAACAGTTGATTTGTGTATAGAATTGACCAATATTAAAACGGTTAATTCAACATAATATTTACAACTTACATAGTCCTTTGCACGTATTAGTCTTCAATAACCCTCTGAGGATATTATCGTCATTTTACAGATTTAGAAATTACGGCAGAGCTTAACTGGTTTACCAAAGGCCATGCAATGAGTGGCAAAACCAAGAGTAAAATCCCGGCCCCACTGAAATTAATGGCAAAACTCCCACTGACTTAAAAGGAAGCCAACATTTCACCCTAGCATAATAATTTGTGCTCTTTCTTCTAAACAATTAAATTAAATTAAATTAATGGAGATATCCTATCTCCTACAACTGGAAGGGACCTTGAAAGGTCATCGAGTACAGCCCCCTGCCTTCACTAGCAGGACCAAGTACCAATTTTGCCCCAGATCCCTAGGTGGCCCCCTCAAGGATTGAACTCACAACCCTGGGTTTAGCAGGCCAATGCTCAAATCACTGAGCTATCCCTCCCCCCTTCTACCAACATGCATGCTGTATGGGGCTGTATATGAATATATTGTTAAATGTGGCTTATTATTAAAACAATCTTAAAATTAAATTTTAATTCTTGTAAACAGAAATTGTCTCATACACTCCCACCAACAAAAAACAAAAATGTAATGGTAATTTTAAACTACATTTTGGAATAGATTAAGCAAATTAGGAATTCCAGCTTTTACACTAAAAGGTGTTATTCAGCAGTTTCTATTTATTTTACATGGATTTATTTTATGTATGCTGTGACAAGGAAAACATCTGAAGAGACCTCCCAGACCTAAAAACATAGGTCCTGATCTTGCAAAGACTCATCATGCACATGAGTAACTTTATATAGTGTGAGTACTCTCACTGAAGCCAATGGAGTACAGTTTTCAGGATCAGGAACTTAGTTTATAGATGAAGAGGTGACTTTCAGCCAATTTTTGGGGGGGCAATGAGGGGTTAATGATATGAGGTGTTTAATCTTATATATGACTGTATATTTATTTGTTATGGCTTCATCTTAAATAATGTGATTCACTGTTATGTTTTACCTATCTCCCGGCTAGAAAACATTATGAAGAAAACATTTTATTCAGTAGTCTTAAGACATTTAAGTTTTAATTATAATTCTTCACTCTATCTTGTTCTAAATTTAGTTTGTGTGCTGTAACTCCACTGTAACAAGATATTTTTCAGTATATTCCACAGTCCCAGGTGCACTCTCTCTTAAAAGGGCTAGCCACTTCCTGAAACTCACATGCCTACGTTCTAAGAGCTGTGTTCTGTACAGTTATTAGTCACAGACTAGCTCCCTTAAGGAAGGGAATCAATTTTCAGATCAACAATACCTGTTTTTTTTAATGACATGGTATTAAAGCCATACTATTTCAGGAAATCTAAGAAAATTTGAGGAACCACAGCTTTTTTTTCTAAATACAAAAGAATAACAAATGTCCACTCTGTTGTTATGGTCCATCACTGCTAACTCTTGTTTGCACCTGACCATGGACTCTAGGATTCATAGAACTGAGGCTGAGCTAGAATAGGAACAGTAAGAGCAGCGAAGCTCCTACCTTTCCTGTTTTTGAATCACCCCTACATTTTTTCCTGTTTTGAGTCCTGTGATATTCTCTCTTCCCGCTTCTCATCTACTCAGAGAGAACAACAGACTGATCAGGATTAATGAAGGTGCCCACGCCAGAAGTTAGGAGCAGTACAGTAGCCAAGAAATTTGCGTCAGGTTTTAATTCTGTGTTAAGTTTTTAAATTAACCTTCGTTATCAATGTTAAGTTAAAATTTCAAGACAATTCAAAGTCCTCAAGGTAATGCTATCTCCAATTCTTCTCCCTTTCTCCCCACCACACACAAACTAAAAAGCAACTTTCTTAAGTGTTTAGAACTTACCAATAGTTGAAAATTGTTTTCTTTAGTAAAGATAAATGCCACGAGGTGTCATGGTATACCATACATGTTTTAATGAACGGAGGGAAAGCGTTTCTGGTAATAGGCTTTGGAAGGTTCATCAACTGTCCTGTAACTGGGAAGGAAGAAGAGAAGAAACAAATCTTAATTTTAAGCTATTTAAAGTCAGTAAGTTTTAAGTCAGATATTACATTATTATGACTTGCACGTTCTTACAGGCAACAATTTAAAAAAGCCAAGCCTGGAAGTTGTCTAAGAAGTAAACCAAAAGTTATTATTTAATAATAGAAAGAATGCCTGTACTTTAAACTGGTATACCTGTTAAGTCATGCAAAATACTATTATATTTACCATCTCACGAAGAGAAATATTCCTGAACAATTGCATAAAAAAAGTTAATGTCTAAAATCAACTGCACAGGAAGCAAACTTTATTAAGTTTGCAGATGATTTTAAAAATACTGATTCCAGTCTTAATTAACTAAGGATTGTATACTATTAATAGACATATGGTCAGCAGAACTCATTATGAAAGAAATCCTGAACCCAATGCTTCCAAGCCCCTTTCAATACAGGAACTGAAGCTTTATAATATTAAAGAAGTGACCTCACGGCTTTCACAAGAGACCAAAAGAATATCTCTGTTATACAGAAGTTCCTTCTATCTGAAACGTGACGCACTGCCAAAGAAAGGTGTTTAAAAATACATTGGTATTATAACAAGAAAACAGAATACAGTTACTACAGTGATCAGGCAAAGGAAAAATTTACAGTACAAAAACCTCACACTTCCAGCACACAGAATTACAGTGAAGGAAGCTGCCTAATGATCTCAACAAACAATACGTCCCAAAAGTAAATAATGTGAAAAAAATTTTAAATGCATTGTGAAGTGTTTACTTTGGTGTTGTTATACTTTGCATTTCCATTACAACATCCATCCAAGCACCTCAATAGTCTTAATAAACATTAATTTCACCTAACATTCCCCCACCCCATGAGATCTCTCTAAAATGGAGATTTTGCTAAGGCAACTCAGTTTGACAAAGATTTAAAATGATCTGTCCAGTACAATACAGGAAGTCTGTAGGAGACATGGGTTCTATTCTCAGCCCTATTGAATCCATCTTCCATTTAGACCAAATCACAGTTACAGGAAAGCACTGCACAAGGACACTAAATGAACTGTTGCCCTTTAGCAATCTGAGAACCTTCTGAAAAAATAGCAAGGATATGAAAGGAAGTACAACTAGATACTTATACTGAACTTAAAGAAGCGGGGTTTTTTTACACAAACACAAAAATTAGCCAGAACCTCCCTATTCCACTTGATAACATTGCTGATACTTACGGCTGGATGGCATCCTCCCTCACAGCCAACTAATTAAATCAGTCTTTTGTGATATTAGAAGTTACCATGATCTATAAACCTCTCGACTTCAAAATGCTTCAGTGTGGGAATACAATGTAGAACACAATATTCTCATTATTTCTCCTCTCATCCCCTCTCTCCTGCATTCCCTTTGTACTTGACTTCTAATTCATTTCCTCAGGTCCTCCCACCTCTATTCATTCCCCTCCCTTCTCTCCATCTCCTTCCCTCACCCCCATGCCACAGGAACACTGCTTATCATCTGCCACATCTCTGTTCCCTCAGCCTGTAACCTATGTAGCAGAGACAGAACAACAGCTCCAACAGTGTCTCACACCACTGAGGCTTGCATCACAGAGGAGAAAAACAGGAATTAGCAAATAAAGCATCTGAAAAGCAGGATACCTTAGAGGATGCTTGAGAAGTAGGTCAAGCCCCCAAAGGCAGGTCAAAGAACAGCAAGCACCCGAGCAGGAATCCCAGCATTAGAGACTATATCTCACCTAAAGAGTGAGATCTCTTTACCCTTCTTATTGTTTGTTGGTTGTTTGGTTTAGTACACTGACTATGGGATATCTGACAAAGTTTCCAAGTTCAATGTGAAAAGGGGTGGGTGAAAGAAAGAGGAAGAATTCTGAGACATTAGAGAAGTATGGAACTGAGAAGTATTTTGCAGGAGACAAGGGAGAAACAAATGTAAAAGTTGAGGTAGAGAATTTAACAGAAGTAAAGAAAGTTATAAGAAAGTCAAGGATGATAAAAGAGAAAACACTAAAACACTGCAGAATTAAATACATCTGTTTGTTATTTACGGTAATTTAGCATGGTAGACAGACATCTCTTTCTATTTTTTTTTTTTATAAACCTAATTTAAATCCAATAACCTATCAAAAAAAAAAAAAGGAAATGGAATGAAACCAAGAAGGATATGGTGATAGTAATTTAAGATTTTTTTTATATCATAAATTGAAAACTGTTTGACAATATGTTACAAATAAACACAGTTCACACCCATTTCATTATTTAAAACATCGGGGGCATAGTTCTGACGGGTGTGCCAGCACAGGTATTTTTCATCCAGGCTATTTGGCTTAGTCCCCAAATTAGCTGGTATTGGGAAAGCTTTTTCCAACTACCAGATACACACACACTCATCAATCCTCATGCTTCAGCCAGCCAGGGTCAGGAGGAAGTTTCTCCCAATGCTACAGTAATGCACAATTAAGATTTTGCATCTTCTCTGCAAGCATTTGATGTCAAGTGCCAAGAGCAGTTAATAGACGATAGGATCAACTGCCTATTCTGGTATGTTTTCCTTACTCTACATTGCTTAACTTGTGACAAAGAGAAGACTGGCTTGGATGGAACAATGCAGGTCATTTATATCCAAAGAGCTTTAGTAATAACATAAGAAAAAAATTGTGAAAGGTAACTGGGTTCTTGTGGAACTACTCTCAATTTTAACTATTCCTCAGTATGTGAGCCCCTGCTCGGTTTGCTAAATACAGTCAGTAGCTAAATTCTTGGCACATATACCCTGCTATTCTAGTTACTAAGTATATTTCAGCACATACACCAGTAACTGTATGTGTAGAATATTTTAGACTTCTTTGCTGCCCCTAATCTGGAAACTCCTACCCCAACCTCATTATATAAGTGAATTTTAGATAACTAATATGAATAGTTAGTATATAAATGTACAAGTTAATAAAATAATTGAACAGGAACAAACCCCATAATAATATGGGAATGGAGTGCAAGTATGCATCTATTTAAAGGGAAACTTCAAGTACTAGTTACTTTTCAACTAGTTACTGCACATATCTACAGACATATTACCCATCCTTGTGCATGCATACACACACACACACACACGTATATCAAACTTTTAACATCAAGCAGATCATGGTTCCATCTAACTAGCGTTCTGTCAATGATCCCATCTTGTCAGCAAAGAATTCAAGAGTAATGAAAAATCCACATTTCAATTTAAAAAACGAATGTTTCCTTAAAGTGTGCTTAGGTAAGAAAATTGCAGCTGTAATTTCCTCTAACTATATTGCTGATGACTTTACAGAAGAATGAAATACAAACCTCTTACAGAAATATACCATAAATGTTTGACAAAATTTCAGACTATTTTGCATTAATTAATTAAGACAAAGAAGCATGCTGTGTGCTAATATAACACATAATCTATGGATTTGGAAGCCCTTTAAAGAAGTGGGTAAGCATTAGCATCCCCATTTTACAGATGGCCAAAGATATACATAGAGATTATGTGACACACACACAGTGTCATCAGCGGAGGTGGGATCAGAACCCAAATCTCCCAATTGCTGTGCATTCAGATAGGTCAAGGCAGCATCAGATAAGTAATTTAATACTTTGGGCTGTGGGAGTCAAAATTCTTCTCTCCCCTGCCCCAAGAGTGATAGAACACCAGTGACAATTAATCCATTAGAAGGTCTGGGGAATCAAGTAGATTGGGAAATAAGAACTAGCCAAGACCACCGGAGAATATTCTTTTGATACAACCCCCCTAAAATAATGGTTCGTTAAAAAATTAACACTTGAAATACGTCCACGTCTATATCTTAAGGTAAGCAGCATGAAATATCACAGGCATCATTAAAGAATCAGTATCATCATTGCACTCTAAGCAAAAATTATGCATCCCACAACTTTGTTAGGTCCTTTTTATTGTATCTGCAATTTACAGACAACCAACACAGGACATTTTCCATCATCATTATTGAATTGTAAGATACATAAGTGTTAGAGACATATTGTATAAGTACACTGCACATTCAGAAAGTTTAAGGCAGGTCAGCAGTAAACTGAAGACAAAATAAAAATGTTCTATTAATCCTTTTGTGTAAAGTGTCAGAATTTTCTACTGTAGTTTGTTGCCAGTAATGGACAGAAACTGCTGGCTCCAGGGAATTACAATGAGTATAAGGAATAACCATTAGAACAGCAGGTAGCTGTTCAAAGATTTAAACTAAGCCCTCTCTTTACCCCTTTGTTTGCCCATTAAACTAAGCATGTAGGAGCAAGGGAAACCCATGTGAGTGCCTCACACCAGAGCAAGACAGTTCAGAATACATCATGGAGTGCTCTAGAGTAGCTAGTTAACACAGGCAAAAATAGTCACTGAGAAAGAAGCCTTAGAAAAAGTTGGGCTGTTGTAGGAAATACTAACTAGGAACAAGAATGTGGATTGGGTGGTAGCCTTCAGCTGGCAAGACAGGAAACATTTTGTTAAAAACTTTAAGCATATGTATATAATAGATCAAAATGGGTGTTATTGGGAAAAACTTCAACTGGGAAGAGAAGGCAAGGCAAAAACGGTTTCAAAATATACCCAATCTCACATCAATACAACACCATGCCAGAGCATGAATGAATATAAAAACGGTAAGTAACAGGCTAAAGACCCTTCCTTTTTGCAGGAGGGGGAAAAAACTACTTGCCAAACTGTTTTTTCTCTAAGCTTTCCAATTATAAAAGCCTCTTGCATAGAAGAACATATCCACTGCTGTACAACTGTCCCAGAAAAAACACAGACCATGGGGAGAAAGTGGCCCATTTTCTTTAGTCTCTAAGAATCATGTATACAGGTCATATTTTCAAAGGTTCAATTTATTAGGATGTATATCATCACCTTAACAGAAATTACATTATATGGCTTTTAAAATATGAAATTGTCATTTTCACTCTTAACGTCTGTAAAATTTACTCTCCGTTTTGCACATAGCACTATAAAAATATAAAAATTTCCATCACTTACATGAAAATTAACAAAGTAAGTGAAAGTGACTGGCATATAAAAAGATGCTACTTTACTATAATAGTGAAGTTGGAATATGAGGAAATGTCCCATAAGAAAAACAAAAAAGTCTATAATTTTCTATTTAAACTGCAATTATCCCATTAGTCTATCAAACCAAATCATAATTTTCAGGAACATGTGTATGAGAATTCCAGCAAATACAAATATAAATATTGTTATGTAGTTCCCAGCGTGGCCCATGGGGCAATCTTGTCTATCAGCTTCTGTTAGCTCCCAAAAACACCTCAAAGTGATAATTCTTCACCACATGTTGAAAATGTTGTGACTAATAATACACTCCTCCACCCATTTTTTCCATCACTAAAAGGATTTCAAAATAGAGAACTTGACACACAGTGGTTAAATTCCATTTCTTTTAATTCAAATCAACTTGCCATAAGAAGTAAATGCATTTTTGCTAACTCTTGCAATAATAGTTATGATGATATACAATAAAATATACAAGAAAAAATTCAGTACAAGTGGAAAAAATATCCAGTAACTGCAAGCTTCTTTTGTAAAATTACACCCTCATTTTTGTCTGTTTTTCAAATCACCTTACCTTGTTCTTTCTTTCAATTCCCATTCTGTTCCCCCTTCTCCCCGCACCATCCTCTCTTTGGAAAAAGTCCCTTTAAGGTAAGTAATTTAACAAAAATGGAACTAGACAGAAAATTTGAACATATAATAAATATTTTGTTGAGGACAACTGGGAGCTAGACCCATACTAAATTAACTAAATGTAAAAAATGATACACGTGAGGCAATTAAAATGCATGTAAGAACTTCGGTACAGGTGTCTACAATAGCACTGTTTGCAAAACACGTTTGCTAATTAGCATATCTTTAAACAATGCTGATAATAATCTTGTCCCTATAATCCATGACAAATGAATCGCTGAGATTGTAAAATAGAAAGCATGTGGAAAGTCATTAAAAGTCTCTGATAAACCTTTGTTTATATTTTCCTTGCCAGGTGTAAAAAATAAAATATTGTTCTACTTATTTCGATTTCTTCAAACTGTTCAATTACACATTTTAACACAGGTTCTTTAGTGGTGCATTAAGTATCAACTTTTTTTTTTCCTATCAAAGAGAAATCCTCACACTATTACAGTCTCGAAAATCTGCTCCATTCTCTATTTGTCATCTGGGATTGAGTTATCAGACACTACTTGTATTACTTTGTGAAACTGACATGTCTATTTACAGGGACACAAAGGCAATCCAGTACTACAACCCCTTATTTTACAAACACCTTCCAAAACACCTCTTCTCTCCCTCCTATTTTTACAAATACTTTGTTTTTTTTTCGGTGGGGAAGAGGACGTTATGCACATTAGTTTTTCACCTTGACAGAAAACAATTTCAGTCACTTTTGCACTTGTTACAAGTATATTAAAAATCACCTACATCTCCAAAGAGGAGAGGCATTGTTTTGCAGGTTGTTATTTTTTTTTTTAATAGGGTCACTTCCCCCATTTCAGCCTGCAATTAAAATGGAGGCAAAGCCAGGCGATCTGTGTCTGGCTTTAGGGGGAGACAATAACCCAAAACAGGCCTGGCTTTAAAAAGAGAGAGAGAGAGAGAGAGAGAGAGAGAGAAAAAGAAATACAACATGCTTCACCAGTATTATTACCTCATCCCTTTTTCCAAGCAGTTTTGAACCACACTCTTGACAAACTCTTGGTCCAACTTGCACAGATGCTGATTTTTTGGGGGTGGAAAGGTTTTTAATTCTGGAGCCAGAATTCAGGCTTGTTATTTGCAAGTGGAGCTGCTGTTAAAATGCCCCCTTGTCTCCTCTCCTCTCCCTTGAGCTGGGTGTTGACGCAGCAGAAATTACCAGCTGGAAAATTCCCCTTTTGGAGGTTACAGGGAGGGGGGGGGAGAGGGAGGAGGGGGGACGAGTCATGGGGGAGGGGGGGTTAAACCCTGCCACTCACCTAGTTCACCCATCCACCCACGCCAAGTCAGTCACGCGTGGCAAAGGGAACTCCATGCCCCTTCCACAAAGGGAAAAATTTCCCCCTTCCCTCCCCAGAGTGCAGTGGGCTTTGCCCAGCAGCCCCCGGGGGCTCAGAGCGGTTCAGGGATAGGAGACATTTGGGCTCAGACAACCTCCCCACTGTCAGGACCCCAGCACCTGGGATCGGGGCACTGACACCCCCCCCCGTTACCCCACTCCTGGGGGGAGGGCGGAGCAGCTCTCCCCCGGGGCAGCCAGGGAGGGGGTGTCCTCGGCACCGGGGGGATCAGGCTTCCCGCACCGCCCCCAGCCTGCCCCCCTGTGCTGCCGGCACCCCGGGGGGTGAGGCGGGTAGCTGCCTCCCTCATCTCCGTTGGGGGGGAAGGGGGGGCGCCTCCGCCAGGCCAGCGCCGCCCACCCCCGAAGCGCCGCGCGACTCCCGTGCTCAGCCCCCCGCCGCGCCCCGCCCGAGGGAAGTGGGGGCAGCTACCTCCCTAACGACCCCCCCCCGGGCTACGAGCGGCTCGTGCTCCCCATCGCCCCGCGGACCCCCCCCCCCCCCAGCGGGGGCGCGTCGCCGCGCTGCCCCGGGACCCAGCGCTCAGCCGAGGCGGGGGGACAGCCCGGAGCCCCGGACCAGGCTGGGGAGGGCAGGGCGATCGGGGTGGCGGGCGCGGGCCGAATCCCTCTCCCCTGAGGGGCCGGGAGAAGCGGGGAGGCGGGCTGGGGGGGGTCAGGCCCCCTCCCCTTACCGGGCCGGAGAGGAGCCCCACCGGCCCCTCTCCTCAGGGGAGGGGGCACCGAGCCCCCGGGGTGCGGGGGGAGCCTGGCTTGGGGGGGTCTCGCTTACCTGGGCCCCAGGCAGGGGAGCGGGGTCTCGGAGCGGCCGGAGCTTTGGCTCCTTCGGTCACTCAATGTCTCTCCTCACGGGTGGGGATGAGGGGGGGGAAAGCTAGAGGGGGGGCGGGGCGCGCTCCCGCCGCTCCCCCTGGCGCGCGCTCCCAGGCGGCGGGCGCGCGGGCGCGGGCCCGAGACCGGGGCGGGGGGGGGCGTGGCCAACGAGGCTCGTGCGGCCTCCCTCCCTCCCCTGCTGCGCTCCCACTGGATGACGCCGGACACAGGCCTCCGTAAGCCCCGCCCCCTAGCCCCGCCCCCTCCCGTCTCCCTTGCGCCAGGGGCTCGGGGGCGCCGTCAGCAGCTGCCACGGCCGGACACCGGAAGTGAGGGCAGTGCGCTGAGCATCATGGGAGACACCCCGAGCGGGGGTGGGGTGCGCGGGTGCGCGTTGGCCTTGTCGAGGGACTGCGCCCCCCCTCCCCGAGACCCCCCCCCCTTGCCCGGGCCCCTGAGGTGCCTCCGGGGAGCAGCCCACACCGCCCACCTGGCCCGCAGGTGCATCCGCCCCGCCCCGCAGTCAGGCCCAGCGCCACCTAACCCCCCCCCCGAGCGCCTGGGGCTCCGCGCCCGCCTGGCCGGGCAAGCGGGGAACCGGTGGGTTTAGCTCCTGGCCCCCGCGGCGGGTTGGGAGGTTCATTGGTAAATGTCAGCAAAGGTCAGTGTCGCCCCCACGCTCGCAAACAACCCACGAAGAAATGTTTCCGTCGCCGGTAATCGAACTTCGCCGGGAAAATGCCGGCTGAGAACTTACTTGGTTAGCCTTTGGCTGGAGGAGATTTACTTGGGTGTGTGTGGCTGTGATGCTGTCTCCTTCCCCCATCGTCCTGTGAAAATGTAAAGGGATAAAAACATGCTTTAAAATAAATATTGCTGTTATAGAAATCATGAATTCCACTATTTGCAGTGGTGGTGTAGCTGTGGGATATTAGGATCCCTGGATATGAGCGAGACAAGCTGGGTGAGGTAATATCTTTTATTGGATGCGCTTCTGGATATACACAGAGGGAGATTCTGCAAGCTACTCTCTGTACTTTAGTTACACATGAAGGAGGGACGGCTCTTATAAAGGATAAGCTGTTCCCCAAGAACAATACAATCATACTCACTTCAGAGACCCCTGACTTCAGTGGGATTGCAAGTGGGTCTAACAGAGATCATGGCTGGAAATCAGGAGAATTGGATTCTATCACTCTGTCACAGTAAAATGAAGATAATGCTTACTCGCTTATGTCCCATGCCTTGAGATCTGCAGCTGAAAAACATTATTTAAGTGCAAAGTATAATGCCCTTTGACTATAACACCAAAAGATCAAAGAACTGTGCTACATGTCATGGGAGTGAGCTAACAGCTCTGGAGCCTGCAGGACACCACGCTCTTGAGATGGCTTTAACAGGCAAGACAATGGGTCTCTGAAGCCCATCTTGTTG